TCCATACACTTGAACACAAGTTTTTGTTGCAAACTAAAAAAATCCTTATTTTTGACCAATATTTGGCCCCTTATTCATAAATGTTTGAGCAATTAACCCCAAAACTCAATTCCTACTTTCTCTTCGTGATAAAAAATAACTAACTTAAAATGTAAATTTTAAACAAAAAAAAAAGGAAAAAAAAAAATTACCCCTTTTTTGACCCCCGCCCCCCTTATGATTAATCACCCCCGCCCCCCTTTCCCCCCAAACCAAGCTCAATAACAGCCTTGCCTTTGTGGTATGTTACCTTGTAATACAATTTTAGAGAGATCCATACACTTGAACACAAGTTATTGTCTAGAAACTAAAAAATGCTTATTTTAAACCCCTTTTTAGGCCCCTTATTACTAAACGTTTTGGGCAATTACCACAACACTCAATTCCAGCTTTCCCTTTGTGAAATGGAACCTTGTAGTAAAATTTCAGAAAGATCCATACACTTACACACAAGTTATTGTCATGAAACTAGAAAAATGCTTGTTTTTTGCCCCCTTTTGGCCCCTTATTCCTAAAATTTTGAGGCAATTAACCCCAAAATCAATCCCAGCATTGACCCTTTGTGATATGGAATCTTGTGGTACAATGTCAAAGAGATCCATATGCTAACACACAAGTTATGTCTGGAAGTTACAAAAATGCTTATTTTCGGCCCCTTTTTGGCCCCTAATTCCTTAACTGTTGGTACCATAACCCCCAAAATCAATCCCCACCTTCCTATTGTGGTATTGAACCTTATGGTAAAATTTCATAGAGATCCATTCACTTAAACTAAAGTTAGAGTGCGAAAACCATTGTGTATTCGGACGACGACGACGACGACGACGACGCCAACGTCATACCAATATACGACCTCAAAATTTTTTTGCGGTCGTATAAAAATAACCAACTTAAAATGGAAAATTTTAAAGAATAAAAAAAGGAAAAAAAAAATCCCCCCCCCCCAATTTTTTGAACCCCCTTAGGATTCATCACCCCCAAACTCAATCCCAGCCTTCCCTTTGTGGTATGGTACCTTGCAGTACAATTTCAGAGATATCCATACACTTGAACACAAGTTATTGTCTGGAAACTAGGAAAATGCTTGTTTTTTGGCCCCTTTTTGACTCCAAATTCCTAAATGTTTAGGGCAATTACCCCCAAACTCAAACCCAGGTTTCCCTTTGTGATATGGAACCTTGTAGTACAATTTCATAAAGATCCATACACTTACACACAAGTTATTGTCCTGAAACTAGAAAAATGCTTATTTTTTGCCCCTTTTTGGCCCTTAATTCCTAAAATTTTCAGGCAATTACCCCCAAAATCAATCCCAGCCTTCCCTTTATGGTATGGTACCTTGCAGTACAATTTCAGAGAGATCCATACATTTGAACACAAGTTATTGTCTGGAAACTAGAAAAATGCTTATTTTTGGCCCCTTATTCCTAAACGTTTTGGGCAATTACCCCCAAACGCAATTCCAGCATTCCCTTTGTGATATGGAACCTTGTAGTACAATTTCAGAAAGATCCATACACTTACTGGTTCACACAAGTTATTGTCATGAAACTAGAAAAATGCTTGTTTTTTGCCCCTCTTTTGGCCCCTAATTCCTAAAATTTATAGGCAATTACCCCCAAAATCAATCCCAGCATTCCCTTTGTGATATGGAACCTTGTGGTACAATGTCAGAGAGATCCATACACTAACACACAAGTTATTGTCTGGAAGTTACAAAAATGCTTATTTTTGGCCCCTTTTTGGCCCCTAATTCCTTAACTGTTGGTACCATAACCCCCAAAATCAATCCCAACCTTCCTTTTGTGGTATTGAACCTTATAGTAAAATTTCATAGAGATCCATTTACTTAAACTGAAGTTATTGTGCGAAAACCAATGTGTTTTCGGACGACAACGACGCCGAACCACGACGACACCAACATCATACCAATATACGACCGCAAAATTTTTTTGCAGTCGTATAAAAATTGAATCATAACTTCCTGCCGATATTCACATCTACATATTATATGTATTATGTCCTTATTATCTACAAAGTTTCATGAAATTCTGTTGTGTGGTTTCAGAGGAGTTGCGATGACAAGAATAGGACTGGTGGACTGAAGGACGGAAGGACTGACAGATTGATTGGTCAAAAAGATTATACACTACTGAACTTTGTTCGTGGGGTATAATTAAAATCAAAGACACAAAGTTATATTCTTTTTGTAGATGTGGAGATACAACTATTGGACATTTATTTTATGATTGTTAAGTGACATCAAGTGTTTTAGATTTGTTCTGTGCTTGTTTGAAAAATTTCCTTGTAAACACTGAATTCAACAAAAAGCATTTTTTCTAGGTTTTGAGAAGAAAGCTTATTTTTAAATTTCTTCGTAATTTTTGTTAAAAAATACATGTACAAATGCAAGCAAGAAGAAAAGCTTCCAAATGCACTTGAATTGAAAAATAGACTGAAAAAAAACTTTTATAATTTAAAATTATATATGGCAAGAAAATACAACAGAGTTTTTGCATTAGAAAAACTTTGGGCCCCTATACTAATTATTTATTCTGAATGGTAGTCTTACAACCATATTTGAAAATCTTTGTGCATTTATTTTAGCACTGAAGTGTACATAGATAAGGATATTATTTAAAACAGACAACATATGGTAGATTATATTTGTCAAAAGTACATGTAGAAATTAAAATGTTTTATGGTTGTGGAAGTGTATATATACTACAAGAGTGCACACGCTACATTTTCACAGCTGCTTTACTGACCATTGATTTTATGTTGAAAGTCTTAAAGATAAAGGTTTTACTACAAGTATCACATAAACTTTACATTTTTAGAGATCCATTACAATGAGGTCAAGGTCAGATAAATCCTGTCAGACAGACATGTACACCTTACAATTATTCTATACACCAAATATAGTTGAATTGCTAATGGTACTGGAAAAACAGACCAAAACACAAAAACTTAACACTGACCAATGAACTATGAAAATGAGGTCAAGGTCAGATGAAACCTGCCAGACTGACATGTACCCCTTACAATCATTCCATACACCACATATAGTTGACCTACTGCTTATAGTATCTGAGAAACAGACCTTATCACATAACTTTAACCTTGATCAGTGATCCATGAAAGGAGATCAGGGTCAGGTCCCGTCTAACTGAATAGTAGACCTTGCAAGGAACCATATACTAAATATAGTTATCCTATTACTCATAATAAGTGAGAAATTCACATGACAAAAAAACTTTTTTTTTTTCCAAGCAGTCGCTGAACCATGAAAATGAGATCAAGGACAATGGACATATGACTAACGAAAACTTCCTAACATAAGGTATCTGCATACAAGGTATGAAGCATCCAGGTCTTATAGCTTCTGAAATATAAGGCTTTATACAAATAGTTTACACCGCCACCAGATAGTAATCCCTGTCTTGCATACTGCAACTTTTCAGTCGCAGGCGAGAAAAAAACAAAACAAACTTGATAAGGATGCAGATACACATGTTAGTGTGCTGTTAATCTTCATTTCAATGAATATGCATTATTTATCAATTTTTTTTCATAAAAACTCGTTTATTTACCCATCTTATAAAATCCTATGAATAAGAATTGACAACCTTTAATGTAAACATAAGAAATTCAATATGTTTAAACAATAATTTGTGTGACTCAAAGCCAATTCAATATTAAGAACACTGTACATGTACAGACATGAGGTGCAACATACACATATCTTGCAAGTACTTAAAAAACTACAGTTTGAACTTTATTGAATTACCATTCAAACTTTTGAAATTAGATTCATGTAGGGAAATGAGGACTGCCATATAAATGAGACAGTTTGTTTTCATTATTATATGAAGGACCCCACTGGAAATTAGTTTCAATAACTTTTGTGGGTCATCCTAGGGTATTAGGCTGCAGTGATAATCTAGTCTATATAATTTATTTATTAAAATCTAGTCTAATATCAAAATATCATGACAATTTTCCATAATTTCATTTTTTAAATTATAATTTTTTAGTAAACATATAAATCATTTGTGTCTGTAACTATTCATGTCTAGTGCTATACCTGTATGTCATTTTAATTTATTGTGTCTGTCAAAATTCAAGCCTTTTATCTTAAATAAATATTATATATATTACAGGCATCATACTGTCTGGTAATCAGATATACAAATCTTCTGACATTGTATGCCCTTTTATGTTAAACAAAAATCTTGAAAAAAAACTATTACTCAGATCTGAAAATTGAAAATGTAGAAAGTGCTGACAGATAAAAAAAAACACATAAAAAAAATTATTTAAAATTGTGAAAGATTTTGGAATATTCTTACCGGTAATAAAGATTTTTCTACTGTAATGATGGACTTTCCCATTATCAATTATGACCAAACATTAAGCACAGAGATATAAATGGGATATTCTGAACTAAAATATTGATTCACACTATTTCATATTATATCTTCAAGGAAAACCAAATAAGGTCTATAGTATTTTCAGTGGAGAATCCCCTGAACAGGGTATACATATTTCTTTCTGAGTAATTAATACAATCCTGTATTGTATCATTAATGATGAATACAAATGTACTTGAAATGAAAGCCTCGAGATACTTATTTTTCAGATCTTTGCTCCAACAGACAGAAGTAGCATGTTGTTATTTTACATTTTTCATTTTTCACTATTTACTTAAATCCAGTTTAAACGATATGTTTAATATTTTACAGCAATATTTGGTTATTACATTTAACTCAAAAATGTGAAAAAAGAGCTAGATTCCAACAATGGGCCTTATTGATAGATGTCACACAAAGACAGTAGCCAAATTCAATGTTCATGTACACAAATACATGTTTTAGTAAACTTACTATAAATATTACAGTTAGAGAAAAGAAAAATTGTTTGATTTGGTAAAAAAATTCCTTCTAATAAATAATACAAACCAAATGGCTCCTCTGCAATTTCATCCAACTGTACATCACCTCCAGCTCCGTGGCCACTGACAGATTTATCTCCCTTGTTAGCCTAAAATATCAAATACCAAAAGTAATAAATAAATTCACATGAAAACTTTTTTATTTATTTTTATACTGTCCTTGATATTTTGATTGCTACTCTTTTCAGTGTATCTTCAGTATGCATTTTCCAGACAACAACTGCAGCATTTTGGTAAATCAGTGTGTTTGTTGTCATTCTTTTATGAAGAAAAAATGTGATATTTTGGTAAATTGTATCAATACCAGTCAATTTGTCCGTCCTTCATAAGTATTGTTTTTTATACATTAAGATGTTTTATTTTGTATTTATAACTTTGAATTCTCATTTTTATGCCCATTATATTTATAAAGCTTACATACCTGTATGATATAGGGCCACGGTATTTGGTGTATGGTGTACATGTCTGTCTGCATGTTTCATATATGACGTCAATTGTATTTGATATATATTGAATGATAGTAAGATGTCTGTGTCTGACTGACGGTCAGGGTTCATATACTTTCGACCTCATGTTCTGAATTAATTGGCCAAACATAACTTTTACATTTGTCAGTTTCTAAGGTACTGTAAACATCGGAACACCTATCTTTGGTGTACAGGATTTTTGTAGAGATCTGTATGGCATGGTTCATCTGACCTTGACCTCTTTTTATGAATCACTGACAATTTTAAGCGTATGTGACACTTCTAGTAAAACCCTTAATATTACAGAAGTTCAACAAATATACTATCATAAGTAAAGCAGACGAGACATTTCAGCATTTGTGCTCTGGTATTCTTTAGTCTGTAATATATAGTTATCTCATTGGAAATCAATCCACATCTGCTACGTTTTATACAAAGATACATATAACTTAAGAAAGTATTGTTGCACTAAATGTTGGTTATCGTTCAATCTCAAATTTTTCATGAAAGATGCTGTTTTTGCTATAAGTTTTTGGTTGATGGTTAACTTTTTGGTTTAAACGTTGCATACCCATATTATTGGCCAAATAGTGGTGGTCTGCCTGAATTGTACTAGTCCGATTCTCAGAGCTTAATTTTTCACACTCATTTAGACACGTTTTAAGTTTGGTTTTTTTTAGAGGTAAAGTGTTGAATTTAAAAAACAAATGATAGCTTTCATGTTTGTTCTTATCAAAAAAATTACAGGCTTCAACCAGTTGCAGGTATATCAAGTGGTAAAAGAAATATTGATTTCTGATTATTAAGTCTGGTCACGCATTATCTTTCACGATCAAAATAATGCGTTGCCTGATCCTTCACCATCAAGTTTGATGAAAAATCAACAAAATTCAAGGTTTTCATAAACAAATGAACGATTTAAATGGAAGAGCATTCTTTTATTTTACTGTACTTTCGGACACAAAAAAGATTAAATTTCAAATATATCATGATATATTGAAATATGACCATTATAGGTACAAATAAAATGCTCCGCAGGGCGCAGCTTGATACGACCACAGAGGTCGAACCCTGAACAGTTGGGGCAAGTATGGACACAACATTCAAGCTTGATACAGCTTTGCATTTGGATTGTGATTAAATATTTGACACAGCATAGGTTTCTGACACAGAATGAATGTGGTCTAAGAACTTAAAAATTTTAAATTGGACATTCACCTATTATGGTCCAATATCCAAAATCTAAATACATGGTTAGATTCAGCATATCAAAGAACCCCAAGAATTTAATTTTTGATGAAATCAAACAAAGTTTAATTTTGGACCCTTTTGACCTAAATGTGGACAAAGCTGATAATGGGGCCCAAAAATCAAAAACCTAAATACATGGTTAGATTCAGCATATCAAAGAACCCCATATATTCAATTTTTGTTGAAATCAAATAAAGTTTAATTTTGGACCCCGATTTGGACCAACTTGAAAACTGGGCCCATAATCAAAAATCTAAATACATGTTTAGATTCAGCATATCAAAGAACCCTAAGAATTCAATTTTTGTTAAAATCAAACTAAGTTTAATTTTGGACCCTTTGGACCTTAATGTACACCAATTTGAAAATGGAACCAAAAATTAAGAATCTAAATACACGGTTAGATTCAGCATATCAAAGAACCCCAATAATTAAATTTTTGACCCTGTGGACCTCAATGTGGACCAATTTAAAAACGGGGCCCAAAATCCAAAAAGTAAATACACGGTTAGATTCAGCATATTAAATAAAGAACCCCAAGAATTCAAGAATAAAACCCCATTGAAATTGGTCAAGAAATAAGCAATTTATACGAAGTATCTTCTTTTGCACAATACTGTGCAATTAAATATTTCTTGCTATTGTGCAATACTGTACAATTGACAATTTATTGCTATTGCGCAATATTGTGCTATTGGATATTTCTTGCTATTGCGCAATAGAAGATTTCTTGCTATTGCGCAATACTGTGCAATTGAAGATTTCTTGCTATTGTGCAATACTGTGCAATTGAAAATTTCTTGCTATTGCACAATACTTATTATATAATAATTTACACATCCTGTTTGCAATTGGTGTGTATCTCCTACCATATATCATTATTATTTGCTTTTAAATATAAATCAGAAATAACAAACTTAAAATGGAAAATTTTAAAAGAAAAAAAAAAGGAAAAAAAGAAAACCCCCCGCCCCCCCCAAATTTTTGAAACCCCCTTATGATTCATCACCCCCAAACTCAATCCCAGCCTTCTCTTTGTGGTATGGTACCTTGCAGTAGAGAGATCCATACACTTGAACACAAGTTATTGTCTGGAAACTAGAAAAATGTGTTTTATGGCCCCATTTTGGCCCCAAATTCCTAAACGTTTAGGGCAATTACCCCCAAACTCAGACCCAGCTTTCCCTTAGTGATATGGAACCTTGTAGTACAATTTCAGAAAGATCCATACACTTACACACAAGTTATTGTCCTGAAACTAGAAAAATGCTTGTTTTTTGCCCCTTTTTGGCCCTTAATTCCTAAAATATTGAGGCAATTACCTCCATCATCAATCCCAGCCTTCCCTTTGTGGTATGGTATCTTGCAGTACAATTTCAGAGAGATCCATACACTTGAACACAAGTTATTGTCTGGAAACTAGAAAAATGCTTATTTTTGGCCCCCAATTCCTAAACGTTTCGGCAATTACCCCCAAACTCAATTCCAGCTTTCCCTTTGTGATATGGAACCTTGTAGTACAATTTCAGAAAGATCCATACACTTACACACAAGTTATTGTCATGAAACTAGAAAAATGCTTGTTTTTTGCCCCTTTTTTGGCCCCTAATTCCTAAAATTTTGAGGCAATTACCCCCAACATCAATCCCAGCATTCCTTTTGTGATATGGAACCTTGTGGTACAATGTCAGAGAGATCCATACACTAACACTCAAGTTATGTGTGGAAGTTACAAAAATGCTTATTTTTGGCCCCTTTTTGGCCCCTCATTCCTTTACTGTTGGTACCATAACCCCCAAATTCAATCCCAACCTTCCTTTTCTGGTATTGAACCTTGTGGTAAAATTTCATAGAGATCCCTTCACTTAAACTAAAGTTAGAGTGTGAAAACCAATGTGTCTTCGGACGACGACGACGCCAACGTCATACCAATATACGACCACAAAAATTTTTTTGCGGTCGTATAAAACGTGTTTTTTTAATTAATCCCATAGACATGCATTGTGCCTTTTGTGTTTTTTCATAAAGTACTGCATATTTTCTTTATCTTATTGCACAGTATTGTTGAGGAAGTTGAATCATTTTGACAAACATATTTTTTTGTTCGGATATTTCCGCATTTTGAAAATTCAGCGATTTTTTCACACATTCTGAAGTAGAATTTACATTTAATTACATTCACGATCAGGTACCAGAGCTTTCACGATCGTCTCGCAATACTTGACCACCGTTAGATATTCTTTCTCGATCATTTCTCTTGATAAACCGAATGACACCCGGCCAGCCGGCCGGCCGTGGCTAAGAAACAGGAGAAAACCTCTTCGTTCTGTTTCTAAATTTTGAACCAAAAAGTTTAATTTTTACAGGTAAATGTTATTACAGGTGACATGATTGTCAAAGCTTTACCTGTTATATTGCTAATATATAACAACTGCCACCAATAAATGTTCACAAACCAGGAAAAAAGTAATAAAAGTTTGTTTAAGACTGTTCAAAACAATATTCTAATTCATCCACGAAAAAGAAATTTTGAAAGATTTATATTCCTATGGTTTCTGTTCAATCTTTTTCTCTTATATTTTATTCTAATAATCTCTTTTGACTCGAAAACTAGCATATTTTAACACAAGACATAAAATCACAATCCAGTGATAAAATAAACTGCTTCGCTGAGCGCAGCTAGATACGCCCGCAGAGGTCCAACCCTGAACAGTTGGGGCAAAAATGGACACAATATTCAAGCTTGATTCAGGTCTGAATTTGGATTGTAATTAAATATTTGACATATTATAGGTTTCTGAATAAATGTAGTCAAAGAACTTGAAATTGGTTATATGAATTGAATTTATATTCAATTAAAGATTTCTTGCTGTTGTGCAATACTTAGTAAATCTGTTGTCAGACTATACACAAATAAAGTTCAATTAATTCTCAATGTCATATTAGAAATTTATGAAAATAATAAATGTGGATCGTGTCCACATGTGGACACAGATGATGCCCCCGCTTGCATATCATATAGTTATAAAGGGACATAACTGAAGAATGGTAAAAGTGACGCTACCCAAATTTAAACTTGATCTGAGTTTTGTGGTAATAAGCATTGTGTGGATGTCTCATAACATTTGGTTGAGGCTAACTTAAGTAGAGAACAGAAACTAAAAATTCAGCAATTTTTCTATTTGTAAACACGCATAACTCTAGTACGGTTGTGTATAAGTTTTATAACATTTGGTTGAGACAAACTAAAGTTAGAGAACAGAAAAGAAAAATTCAGCAATTTTTTTGTTTATAAAGGGACATAACTCAAGAATGGTAAAAGTGTCTAAAAACTTAATCTGTATTATGTTGTGTAGTAATAAGCATTGTGTATAAGTTTCATAACATTTGGTTGAGGCAAACTAAAGTTAGAAAACATAAACAAAAAATTTGTACTTGATCTTAGTTTTGTGGTAATGAATATTGTGTATAGGTTTCATAATGTTTGGTTGGGGCAAACATAAGTTCAGAATGGAAACTAAAAATTTTGCAATCTTTCGATTTATAAAGGGGCATAACTCAATAATGGTTTAAGTGACACTACCCCAATTCAACTTGATCTGTGTTTTATCAGTGGAAGTCAAAATTAAACATTGCATTGTATAAAGCATTGATTGTAGTTGATTCAACTATAATCATGGACAAAGGAAGATAACTCCAACTTTAAAAATAAAATGCTCCGCAGGGCGCAGCTTGATACGACCGCAGAGGTCGAACCCTGAACAGTTGGGGGAAGTATGGACACAACATTCAAGCTTGATACAGCTTTGGATTTGGATTGTGATTAAATATTTGACACAGCATAGGTTTCTAACTAAGATTGAATGTGGTCTAAGAACTTAAAAATTTTAAATTGGACATTCACCTATTATGGTCCAATATCCAAAATCTAAATACATGGTTAGATTCAGCATATCAAAGAACCCTAAGAATTCAATTTTTGATGAAATCAAACAAAGTTTAATTTTGGACCCTTTTGACCTCAATGTGGACAAAGTTGATAACGGGGCCCAAAAATCAAAAATCTAAATACATGGTTAGATTCAGCATATCAAAGAACCCCATATATTCAATTTTTGTTGAAATCAAACAAAGTTTAATTTTGGACCCCGATTTGGACCAACTTGAAAACTGGGCCCATAATCAAAAATCTAAATACATGTTTAGATTCAGCATATCAAAGAACCCTAAGAATTCAATTTTTGTTAAAATCAAACTAAGTTTAATTTTGGACCCTTTGGACCTTAATGTAGACCAATTTGAAAACGGGACCAAAATTTAAGAATCTAAATACACAGTTAGATTCGGCATATCAAAGAACCCCAATAATTCAATTTTTGATGAAATCAAACAAAGTTTAATTTTGGACCCTTTTGACCTCAATGTGGACCAATTTAAAAACGGGGCCCAAAATCCAAAAACTAAATACACGGTTAGATTCAGCATATTAAAGAACCCCATGAAATCAAGAATAAAACCCCATTGAAATTGGTCAAGAAATAGGCAATTTATAGGAAGTATCTTCTTTTGCACAATCCTGTGCTATTAAATATTTCTTGCTATTGCGCAATACTGTACAATTGACAATTTCTTTCTATTGCGCAATATTGTGCTATTGGATATTTCTTGCTATTGTGCAATACTGTGCAATTGAAGATTTCTTGCTATTGCGCAATACTGTGCAATTGAAGATTTCTTGCTATTGTGCAATACTGTGCAATTGAAAATTTCTTGCTATTGCACAATACTTATTATATAATAATTTACACATCCTGTTTGGTGTGTATCTCCTACCATATCATTATTATTTGATTTTAAATATAAATCAGAAATAACCAACTTAAAATGGAAAATTTTAAAAGGAACAAAAAAGGAAAAAAAGAAAAAAAAGGAAAAAAAAATAAATCCCCCCCCCAAAATTTTTGGAACCCCCATTATGATTCATCACCCCCAAACTCAATCCCAGCCTTCCCTTTGTGGTATGGTACCTTGCAGTACAATTTCAGAGAGATCCATACACTTGAACACAAGTTATTGTCTGGAAACTAGAAAAATATGTTTTTTTTGGCCCCTTTTTGGCCCCAAATTCCTAAACGTTTAGGGCAATTACCCCCAAACTCAAACCCAGCTTTCCCTTTGTGATATGGAACCTTGTAGTACAATTTCAGAAAGATCCATACACTTACACACAAGTTATTGTCATGAAACTAGAAAAATGCTTGTTTTTTGCCCCTTTTTTGGCCCCTAATTCCTAAAATTTGGAGGCAATTACCCCCAAAATCAATCCCAGCATTCCTTTAGTGATATGGAACCTTGTGGTACAATGTCAGAGAGATCCATACACTAACACACAAGTTATGTCTGGAAGTTACAAAAATGCTTATTTTTGGCCCCTTTTTGGCCCCTAATTCCTTTACTGTTATTACCATAACCCCCAAAATCAATCCCAACCTTCCTTTTGTGGTATTGAACCTTGTGGTAAAATTTCATAAAGATCCATTCTCTTAAACTAAAGTTAGAGTGCGAAAACCAATGTGTCTTCGGACGACGCAGGACGACGACGTCATACCAATATACGACCACAAAAATTTTTTTGCGGTCATCTAATTACTTGATATTTAGAAGAAAATAAAAATTTTGCAATTTTTCCATTTATAAAGAGGCATAACTCTAGAACGGTTAAAGTGACGCCACCAAAATTCAAACTTGATCTGTGTTTTGTGGTAATAAGCATTGTGTATCAGTTTCATAACATTTGGTTGAGGCAAACTTAAGTAAGAGAACGGAAACTTAAAATTTTGCAATTTTTCCATTTATAAAGGGGCATAACTCTAGAACGGTTAAAGTGACGCAACCAAAATTCAAACTTGATCTGTGTTTTGTGGTAATAAGCATTGTGTATAAGTTTCATAACATTTGGTTGAGGCAAACTCAAGTTAGAGAACAGAAACCAATTTTGGGACCTACGTAAGTACAGACGGACAATGGTAAATCTTGATGCCCCCACCGCTACGGCGGGGCATAAAAAGGGAACTTACAATAGATATAAACAATTCACCAAAGTTTCTTGAGAATTGGTGACAGCATTTTTGAGTTACTGTCCGAAAAACTGGAAAATCACCCCTTTTTTTAATGAATAAAACCCTATAACTCAGAAATGTAAAATGTAAAATTCATAAAATTCTAAAGGGAGCTTACATCAATACATACAAACAATTCACCAAAGTTTCATAAGAATTGCTGAAAGCATTTTTGAGTTTTTGTCCGAAAACTGGAAAATCCCCCCTTTTTTTTATGAATAAAACCCTGTAACTCGGAAACGTAAAATCTAAAATTTATAAAAATCGAAGGTAGCTCATGTCAATAGATATAAACAATTCACCACAATTTCTTGCAAGTTGGTGAAAGCATTCTTGACTTATTGTCCAAAAACTGGAAAATCCCCCTTTTTTAAATGAATAAAACCCCATAACTCGGAAACGTAAAATCTAAATTTTATAAAAAACGAAAGGGAGCTCACGTCAATAGATATAAACAATTCACCAAAATTTTATGCATTTTTGAGTTAATTTCCGACATGTTGACGACGGACAGACGGACGGACAACGGTATACCATAATACGTCCCGTAAGCGGGCGTATAAAAACTGTTTCTTTGATTATATTTAAGGAAGAATACTATATGCAATAAGTCTGTTTTTAAGAATTTATCAGCAATAGGTCAACTATATTTATTGTATTGAATGATAGTATTTAAAACATGACATTTTCAAAATTTCGGTGTTAAAAAATGCAGTCTTTAAAAACATATAAACTTTATCAAATACAATAATATATATTTAATAAACATTTAGACAAGTGACGACCAAAGACATCGTTCATCGTTTGTTGATGTAAAAAAGAGAGAAATAGAAACCATTTTGTCAAATTTTTTATTAGAAGGTATAAAGTTTAGAGAGTTTTTCATAAATACATTCTTCAAGGCCATATATTTCACGGAATGATGATATACTTTTATTACAATTACATATCGAGGTTATCTAGACAGGTTTATTATCTGTTTCATCAAACAGCCCAACTTAACATATACCCAAAAGACAGCTGTGCAGTCCTTTTTTTATTGCACCATGTGCACTTTTTGTTCCTCACAGCAAATTAAGATTCATAACGTAAGAACATTTCTGTAGATTCTTTGTTTTTGTCCAAAATAAAATTTGATAAAGCAAAGCATATATTGACATTTATGAAATACAGATTTAAAAAAATACTATTTCCTTACAAAACAGTGATTATAAGGTCCTTTGTGTTCTATAAACTCCTTTGTGGTCCTTTCTGCTACATTGTGTTTTTTTGTGCTCAAAGTAGGTCCTTTGTGGTGTTTAGGAGACCAAAAAAACATGCTGTCATAGTGTATTGGAATGTAGAAAAATAAGTCTCAGAAAAAAATCACTGTGTGGGATTTTTCATGAATTTGGTTTATAATTTTTAAATGTATAAATGATTTGGTCCATTTTAGAGGTCAATGCCTAACTCTATCTCTACCTCTATTATCATGGCCGACAGCCAGTAATAGTTCAGGTGGTCGTTGTGACAAACCAGACACCTTCTACCTTAATGCTTCAAAACGTTTTACTGGTCTAGTGCTATGGGTAATTTTAGATACCATGCCAACCTCTACTTCTGGTAACCATAACCCACACGGGAAATCAAAAGAACATTCATCAAGTACCATCTATGACTTTAGGACATTCAACAAGTACCTGCTATAACTTTGGGACATTCTCCAAGGAACTGCTATAACTATAGGACATTCAACAAGTTCCTAGTATAACAATAGGAATTCAACATGTACCTGTTATATACAATTATATAGAACATTCAACAAGTACCTACACGTACTTTACCAATAGGATATTCAACAAGTACCTGCATTAGATATAGGACATTCAACATGTATTTGCCATCACTATAAGACATTCAACAAGTTCCTACTATAACTATCACCACTCTGTATATCTATCACCACTCTGTATATCTATCACTACTCTGTATATCTATCACCACTCTGCATATCTATCAACATTCTGTAATCTACAACTACTCTGCATATCTATCACCACTCTGTATATCTACCACTACTCTGTATATCTATCACCACTCTGTATATCTATCACCAATCTGTATATATCTTACATCACTCTGTATATCTACCACCACTCTGTATATCTATCTCCACTATATCTATCTCTCGTTTGTATATCTATAAATACTCTGTGTATATATCGCCACTCTGTTAATCGATCACCACTCTGTATATCTATCACCACTTTGTATATCTATCACCACTCTGTATATCTATCACCACTCTGTATATCTATCACCACTCTGCATATCTATCTTCACTCTGTATATCTATCACCACTTTGTATATCTATCACCACTCTGTATATCTACCACCACTCTGTATATCTATCAACACTCTGTATATCTACTACCACTCTGTATATCTATCACCATTCTGTATATCTATCACCACTTCGTTTATATATCACCATTCTGTATATCTATCACCACTTTGTATATATATCACCACTCTGTATATCTATCACCACTCTGTATATCTACCACCACTCTGCATATCTATTTCCACTCTGCATATCTATCACCACTTTGTATATATATCACCACTCTGTATATCTACCACAACTCTGTATATCTATCAACACTCTGTATATCTACTACCACTCTGTATATCTATCACAATTCTGTATATCTATCACCACTTCGTTTATATATCACCATTCTGTATATCTACCACCGCTCTGCATATCTATAACCACTCTGTATATCTATCACCACTCTGTATATCTATCATCCCTCTTTATATCTACCACCACTCTGTATATCTACCACTACTCTGCATATCTCTAACCACTTTATATATCTCCACTCTGTATATCTATCAACACTCTGTATATCTATCACTACTCTGTATATCTATCAACCCTCTGTATATCTACCACCACTCTGTATATCTACCACCACTCTGCATATCTTTCACAACTTTATATATCTATCATCACTTTGTTATCTATCACCATTCTGTATATCTACCACCACTCTGTATATCCATCACCACTCTGTATATCTATCACCACTCTGTATATCTATCATCCCTCTTTATATCTACCACCACTCTGCATATCACTCACCACTTTATATATCTCTACTCTGTATATCTATCACCACTCTGTATATCTATCACTACTCTGTATATCTATCAACCCTCTGAATATCATTATTTGCTATGGAAAAGTTTCTATTGTTGCTAAAATTATTTGAAATTAAAATGAATTTACGACATATCTTTTTCAACTTTGGTTCCTCTACAGAAAAAAAAGTTGAGGGCCAGTTGAGTGCCATGTGGCGGACAGTTGAGGGCTAGCTGTTTTAAGCAAAATAGTTGAGGGCTAGGTGTTGAGCAATTTAGCTCAACTCAAACCTGGCCAAGCACTGTATGTTGGATAGATGTCGCTCAACTGGCCCTCAACTGAAGCTGGCCATTAAGTTGAGGAAAAGTTGAGCAATTGATCTTTGGTTTTCATGTAGTTGAGCAAAAGTTGAGCATTCAGACTTTGATTTTTTTGTAGTTGAGGAAAAGTTGATCAACTTTCATGTAGTTGAGCAAAAGTTGAACATTCAGACTTTGATCTTTTTATAGTTGAGGAAAAGTTGAGCAATTGATCTTTGGTTTTCATGTAGTTGAGCAAAAGTTGAGCAATCAGAAATATGAGCCAGTGATATAAATGTTATGTGCCATCTGTTTTCCATTTATCTCAGTGTAATGCAAGAAGACAGGAAGTATCGATCATTATAAATGTACACATAGTTTGAGGCCAAATGAAGGGAAGCACATGTTTTTATACATTTTTCTGTAGTTACTATAACTCATAACATAAAGATAAAGATAACAAGCATTCTGTGAGTATTGCATTGCAATACATAGTCCCCTACCGGTTACAAATTCATTGTAATGGAACGAAATTCTAACTTGATCCATAACTTGTCATGATAAAACTATATACTAATTATCAAATCAATATCTTCAAGAATGACAAACAAACCTACCACTAAATTCTTCAAATAATTTACCAAAGAAAAGGAAAAAAATCCAAAATGTCATTTTGTCTTTTAAAAAATGAGTTATTTCCCTTTGAACAGAAATCTACTAATTAATAAGTATTTCATCAAAAATTTAATTCTAGGGAAAGGGCTTTAACTGAACAAAGAGAAAAGCTAAAATCATATGAAAATTGAACTTGACCTGTAAATATCAAATCAATATCTTCAAGCACGAAGAAAAAAAGTCTGGAAAACTGATTTGCCCGACTGACAGATGGACAGACAGACAGATGGACAGACAGACAGACAGACAGACAGACAGACAGACAGACAGACAGACAGACAGACAGACAGACGGACAGACAGACAGACAGACGGACGGAGTGCAAACCTAAAGTCCCCTTCAACTTCGTCTGTAGGGGACTAAAAAACAAACAATATTCTTTTATTATAATATATATCAAATATTCAAGATTTAGGTAATTAACAGTTATTATAAGGGGCACATTTCAAAGGGATCACACTGTCACAATACCCTAAACAACCTCAAACAAATTTAAAATTTGAACTGGGCATGAGCATGCACATGGCAAGCAAAGATGTCTTCTAGCTATCATGAACAAAATATGGATTTTACAATGGATGTTGATCAAAAAGTTACAAATAACTGTATTGACATTGATTAGTGCAGATGTATTCTTCTGATGACATGACTCTTGGATTTAGGAAGATTGATGTTTACACATATTTATGGATAACATCTTTTGGTAAGTACATTGGATTAGAATTTCCACCATTTTGAATAAGTGCATATGCTCTTTTAGTTCAAAATAGTGATATTTAAAGTGTCTTCTTAACTTTTTAGAGTGAAGAAAAAAATTAGACAATATATTACTGCATTAATTTATATATTATCAAAATGTGTAACACAGGAGACATATTATTTTTATTATTAAGGCAATTTGTTTTAGAAAGTATTACTAATAAAATAAGAATATTAATCTTCTTATATAATGAATTTGGTATAAAACTAGAGATCTGGGGTATGACTGCCAATAAGACATCTATCCACAAATGACAGATACATATATATATCTTTTTTTCTGGTTGAACAACACTTTCTGTTTTGAGTATTTTTGCAATGTGCACTTTGAATACCCCCCTTTGTACTGACTGTTGCCATTTCGGTTTATCAAGGGGGGTGGGGGTAGACATTTTTAAGGAAAGATAATTGTTTTAGGATTAAATGAGCAGATACACTTAATACAGTTAATAGGGTAATAGAAATTTTATTAAGGCCTTTAACTATAATTTAAAACAATTTTGCTTAGACATAGCTAGAGCAATTTTACTAGCCTCTGGTTTAAACTATAGAGTGATCAATCATGAAGACAGCATTTAGAATTATTTTTACAATACTTTGCTTTATCGAGGCACTCTGACAGTCAACAGATTAAAATAGTGGGGAAGAACAATTCCATAACTTTTTTTTTCTCAAATAGTGAAGCAAAGTTTCAGACACATTCTTATCTTGTATTTATCCACACATTTGTTTAGTTTAATTGATTTGTATAATTGGTTTATAAAGGTAGGCAATACAGAACAGACTTTTGATGTCAATATTTGTTAAATAACATTTAAATAAAATGCTCCGCTGGGGCGCAGCTTGATACGACCGCAGAGGTCGAACCCTGAACAGTTGGGGCAAGTATGGACACAACATTCAAGCTTGATAGAGCACTGAATCTGGATTGTAATTAAATATTTGACACAGCATAGGTTTCTGACACAGAATGAAAGTGGTCTTAGAACTTAAAAATTTTTAATTTACCTATTCAAACCATATCATTATTATTTGCTTTTATATATAAATCAGAAATAACCAATTTAAAATGGAAAATTTTAAAGAAAAAAAATGAAAAAAAAATCCCCCCCCCCCCCCCCCAAATTTTTTGAACCCCCTTATGATTCATCACCCCCAAACTCAATCCCAGCCTTCCCTTTGAGGTATGGTACCTTGCACTACAATTTCAGAGAGATCCATACACTCGAACACAAGTTATTGTCTGGAAACTAGAAAAATGCTTGTTTTTTGGCCCCTTTTTGGCCCCAAATTCCTAAACGTTTAGGGCAATTACCCCCAAACTCAAACCCAGCTTTCCCTTTGTGAAATGGAACCTTGCAGTACAATTTCATAAAGATCCATACACTTACACACAAGTTATTGTCATGAAACTAGAAAAATGCTTGTTTTTTTGCCCTTTTATGGCCCCTAATTACTAAAATTTTGAGGGAATTACCCCCAAAATCAATCCAAGCCTTCCCTTTGTGGTATGGTACCTTGCACTACAATTTCAGAGAGATCCATACACTTGAACACAAGTTATTGTCTGGAAACTAGAATAAAATGCTCCGCAGGGCGCAGCTTGATACGACCACAGAGGTCGAACCCTGAACAGTTGGGGCAAGTATGGACACAACATTCAAGCTTGATACAGCTTTGCATTTGGATTGTGATTAAATATTTGACACAGCATAGGTTTCTGACACAGAATGAATGTGGTCTAAGAACTTAAAAATTTTAAATTGGACATTCACCTATTATGGTCCAATATCCAAAATCTAAATACATGGTTAGATTCAGCATATCAAAGAACCCCAAGAATTCAATTTTTGATGAAATCAAACAAAAGTTTAATTTTGGACCCTTTCGACCTCAATGTGGACAAAATTAATTACGGGGCCCAAAAATCAAAAATTTAAATACATGGTTAGATTCAGCATATCAAAGAACCCCATATATTCAATTTTTGTTGAAATCAAACAAAGTTTAATTTTGGACCCCGATTTGGACCAACTTGAAAACTGGGCCCATAATCAAAAATCTAAATACATGTTTAGATTCAGCATATCAAAGAACCCTACGAATTAAATTTTTGTGAAAATCAAACTAAGTTTAATTTTGGACCCTTTGGACCTTAATGTAGACTTATTTGAAAACGGAACCAAAAATTAAGAATCTAAATACACGGTTAGATTCAGCATATCAAAGAACCCCAATAATTCAATTTTTGATGAAATCAAACAAAGTTTAATTTTGGACCCTTTGGACCTCAATGTGGACCAATTTAAAAACTTGGCCCAAAATCCAAAAACTAAATACACGGTTAGATTCAGCATATTAAACAACCCCCAGAATTCAAGAATAAAACCCCATTGAAATTGGTCAAGAAATAAGCAATTTATACGAAGTATCTTCATTTGCACAATACTGTGCAATTAAATATTTCTTGCTATTGCGCAATACTGTACAATTGACAATTTCTTGCTATTGCGCAATATTGTGCTATTGGATATTTCTTGCTATTGCGCAATACTGTGCAATTGAAGATTTCTTGCTATTGCGCAATACTGTGCAATTGAAGATTACTTGCTATTGTGCAATACTGTGCAATTGAAAATTTCTTGCTATTGCACAATACTTATTATATAATAATTTACACATCCTGTTTGGTGTGTATCTCCTACCATATCATTATTATTTGCTTTTAAATAAAAAAATCAGAAATAACCAACTTAAAATGGAAAATTTTAAAAGAAAATATAGGAAAAAAAGAAAAAAAAGGAAAAAAAAAAAAAATCCCACCGTCCCCAAATTTTTTGAACCCCCTTATGATTCATCACACCCAAACTCAATCCCAGCCTTCCCTTTGTGGTATGGTACCTTGTAGTACAATTTCAGAGAGATCCATACACTTACACACAAGTTATTGTCTGGAAACTAGAAAAATGTGTTTTTTTGCCCCTTTTTGGCCCCAAATTCCTAAAATATTGAGGTAATTACCCCCATCATCAATCCCAGCCTTCCCTTTGTGGTATGGTACCTTGCAGTACAATTTCAGAGAGATCCATACACTTGAACACAAGTAATTGTCTGGAAACTAGAAAAATGCTTATTTTTGGCCCCTTTTTGGCCCCCAATTCCTACATGTTTCGGCAATTACCCCCAAACTCAATTCCAGCTTTCCCTTTGTGATATGGAACCTTGTAGTACAATTTCAGAAAGATCCATACACTTACACACAAGTTATTGTCATGAAACTAGAAAAATGCTTGTTTTTTGCCCCTTTTTTGGCCCCTAATTCCTAAAATTTTGAGGCAATTACCCCCAAAATCAATCCCAGCATTCCTTTTGTGATATGGAACCTTGTGGTACAATGTCAGAGAGATCCATACACTAACACACAAGTTATGTCTGGAAGTTACAATAAACAGCTGCGCCATGAGCGCATGATACGCCCGTCGTCTTGTGTGTGAATTTTTATGCAATAAGCATAAATAGTTTCTGACATACGGCGTGACATGCGAAAACCCCCCCTTTTTTTTTACAAAAAACTCAATATCTATAAAATAAAATTTTGAATCAAAACCAAAAAGTATACAGATCTTTAGATTAATATAACTAAGAAGTGTGTAAAATTTTAAGCAATAATCATAAATCTTTTTTGAGATACGGCGTGACATGTGAAAAGCCCCTCCCCCTTTTTAACAAAATACTCAATAACTCAGAAATAAAATTTTGAATCATCACCAAAAAGTATACAGATCTTAAGATTAATATAACTAAGAAGTGTGTAAAGTTTTAAGCAATAATCATAAATTGTTTTTGAGATACGGCGCGACATGTGAAAAAAAACACACACCTGTTTTAGTTACTAAGTCCCGTAACTCAAAAAGTTTTAATCTTATTTTCACCAAAAAGTATACAGATCGTTTGACAATCATAAGAAACAACTATATTAAGTTTCATGAAATTTGGATAAGTCATTCTCAAGTTACAGTGCGACATGTTTACGCCGGACAGACAGACGGACAGACAGACGGACAGACAGACGGACGGACGCCGGACATTTGTATAACATAATACGTCCCGTCAAAAATTTGACGGGCGTATAAAAATGCTTATTTTTGGCCCCTTTTTGGCCCCTAATTCCTTTACTATTGGTACCATAACCCCCAAAATCAATCCCAACCTTTCTTTTGTGGTATTGAACCTTGTGGTAAAATTTCATAGAGATCCATTCACTTAAACTAAAGTTAGAGTGCGAAAACCAATGTGTCTTCGGACGACGCCGGACGACGACGACGCCAACGTCATACCAATATACGACCACAAAAATTTTTTTGCGGTCGTATAAAAATATGATATATGATTATGTCATCTTATTAATTTTACAAAGTGTTTTGTCACATTTATAGTTTATATATATATATATAGGTTTAATTTCTTTTTACTTTCAGACTTTGGTCTTATCCATTTCAAGATGTTGTCCACAGATGTCACACGTGCAATTAATGAAAAAATGTACAGTGGAAGGAAGATATTACAAAAGAAAAAAAAGGACAATTAAGGATTTTTCAACATTAAACATTGTTTCAATATATATCTTACTTCTTCGTGCATAAAAAGTAATATGGCTGCAGGATTAGCTAGATTTTATTTACTAGATAACATTTAAAAAGCAAGGATAAAGCTGTCATGTAGTCTGTTGTGAGTTTAGATCTTTCAGCAGTATTTTGGCTATATAAAATACACAATTTAAATTTATTTTTTCTACAATTTGTAGTCATCAGTTTGCAATGACCAGCTAATGCTCAACTTTTAAAGACCTGGCCCTTTTAAAGACTGGCGGCCAGTTGAGCAATGCAGTTGGCCATCCTATCATTTTTTCTGTATGGGTTTCCAATTAAATGATATATGTAAGTATGTGCTTTAAAAATAGTTATAGGTCTAAATGTCTTTCCATATTAATTTATAAAGTGCTTTTACATTTTGAATTTTCAAATTAGAAATTACTTTGGTAGATTAGTACACCTGTTATTTCTTTTTCTCTTGCACATTTTTATTTAAATGAGGTATTTCGTAAATAAGACTGAGGCATTAGTTCTTCTCCAGGCCTGGTGAAACAGGACTATGGATACTTATAATTAAAATACCTCTCTGTATTTTTGAAGATACAATTTCAGTGGTTCTACATAGCTATCAAAACCCAGCGTAGACATGGCAAACAGAATGTCTTCACCATTTATTGTCTTTCTTTTTTCTTGATGACATCTTTCACTTGCTCTATAATCAGTTAAGGATATTTTCAAGAAATCTGTGTACAAAGAACATACTTAGAAAGATTTATTCTGTTGACTGAAAAATTTAAGTTGCAAGGAAGGCTTTCAATTGTAGTTTATAAACTGATTATTAAACACATGATTCCTTAAACTCATATATATGTAATAAACTCCATACCATGACTTCAGTAAAATTTGTCTAATAACCACTATTTTTAGACTATAAGACAAGTTGACCTATTTGCTGTTTACAGTTTATCTTTATCATTAATACTATTCAAGATAATAACCAAAAACTGCAAAATTTACCTAAAATTACCAATTTAGTGGCAGCAACCCAACAATGGGTTAGTAGATTCATCTGAAAATTTCAGGGCTGATAGAACTTTACCTTATGAACAATTTAACCCCATGTCAGATTTGCTTTATGCTTTGGTTTTTGAGATATAAGCCAAAAACTGCATGCTACCCCTATGTTCTATTTTTAGCCATGGTGGCCATGTTTTTTGACGAAACACAAAATAAAACACAAAATTTATTCTAGATACCCTAAGGATCATTCAGCTTAAGTTTGGTTGGAATTGGTTCAGTAGTTTCAGAGGAGAAGATGTTTGAAATAGTTTACACCAGACGGATGACGACAACAACGAGGGACGACGACGGACGCCAAGTGATGGCTAAAACTCACCATTCCTTTGGAACGGTGAGCTAAAAAGGAGAAAGAATTTTTTTTGTTCTAAATACATGTAGTAAGTCATATGAAACCAGTTTCTTGTAATTCTAATGTTATCGAAATTATTGTACCAATTCATGCATATATACTAATTAATTAATGCATGTTTTTTATATTTATTACGAATCTGTAAAGTATTATAGACAAATAATATTTCATTCAGTGATTGCTGATCCCAAGCTAATTTAGTTTCGAGTTTGATGCCGAAATTTATCGAATCGTGATATTGATAAACAATCAACACAGAGCATGTGACAAATAAGTGAATTGATAGAGCCTTGATATAATTTTTCATATTTTCCATGCGTTCCCATTTATTAATTTAACTTTTCCTGAATTGTTGTTATATGATTGGCTGTTTTAAAGGAGTAGGCCAGGTAAGACCCCTTTTTGGCCCCAAAATATAGCATTTTTACAAATTTCTTGAAATGTAAACTTTTAGCTATTTATTGGAAAGTAGAATACTTTTGTTCCATAAGTATGGGCTGTTTTTTGACAATGCAATATATATACACATGCATCAGGTTCTAGCATCATAAATTCATGCAACATTACTGAAATCTTCACAATTTTAGCATTTGTGCTAATTTTAAGACGTTTTTTGTCTAAAATGGAAGTGGCCGCATTTGTGTTCAGTCTTAATATTAAAATCAAGAACAGAGTTCCAATGTCCCCCGTGTTGCACATATTTTATACTTCCAAGGGGAATAACTCTTTTAAAAAAAGTCGATTGTCATCCATTTTAAAACTTGTCCCGAGATATTGCTTTTATGAACCTATAATATAAGATTTATAAAAATCTGTCAAAAATTGTACCTGAGAGAGCACTAACGAAGCCATTTTCCATAAATTTTAAATTTCCAAGGGGGCATAACTCTTTTAAAAAAAGTCGATCGTCCACCATTATAGAACTTGTCCAAGATATTGCTGATATTAACCTATAGTATAAGTTTTTAAAAAATCTGGCAAGAATTGTACCCGTGAGAGCGCTAACAAGGCCATTTTCCATAAATTTAATATTTCCAAGGGGCATAACTCTTTTAAAAGAAGTGGATCGGCCACCATTATAGAACTTGTCCAAGATATTGCTGATATTAACCTATAGTATAAGTTTTATAAAAATCTGGCAAGAATTGTACCTGTGAGAGCCCTAACAAGACCGGCCGGACACACAGTATTTCCATGTCGCCCGCAACGCGTTACGCAGGGGACAATAAATGTTGTATTTGATGATAATACATAATATATATAAAGGTTGAGACTGAACACCAATGCGGCCTCTTCCATTTTAGACAAAACCATCTGAAAAGTGACGTTTTATGGCATATTTGATAGATTTTTCATATTTAAGCTTGAATTTGAGCATGTTTCATGACCAAATCAGTTCAAATCTTGTACATAAACTAATTGAATCTACTGAAGTAGACACGCAAGTGTTTAAAAAATGTCAAAAATCTTTCAACAGATGTACTTCAAATTTTAGTCCAAAACTAGCCCTTAACGGACCTTCTCCTTTGTTCTTTAAGGGTCATTTATTACTATTAACCTTTCATTGCACGTTTGTTTACATTCTTTCATCACGGTTTTCCCCTCTCACTTGCCGTAGTTTTAACCAGAGTTCTTGAAGTTAAGGTCACTGCATATGGGAAAATATCGGTGAATTACTGTGCGGGAACACAGTAATTCAATTGTAGTACATTTATGAAGGTTTTGATAATATAACGGAATTTCTTTTACAAGAAAGTTCAAGTACATTTGTTTTATAGTATATTAAACATATACAACTTTTTTTTTTAATTTTCATATGACTTTATTTAAATGTAAAGTTACACTTTGCTGATTGTCCACCTGTCTCTTGTGTTCACAACTTGTCTCTTTCAGTCTGATTACTGTTTTAAAAGTAGTGTTTGCTCAGTGGCAATAAAAGTAATATAAATAAGGCCTTAGAGCTTTGGTTAAAGTTTACTCAAGCCATGCTAATGTTTCCTCATAATTGTTTAGGATTTCTTAAAGGGTTATTGAACATGTTGAGTAAGCTTGTAACTATGTTCAGCAATGAAAGTATTATATTTACACTACAGGAACTCTATGGAAAAATTAGCACATTCTCCAGCCCCCAACGAATTCTCAATGAAATAAAAGATAACACGCTTGTGGGGGATCTTCAATGCCTCCTTCGCTTGTTTAATGATTGTAGCAAAATATATCCTGATTTTGTATCAACTGTCTTATCTAACTACCTATTTAAATGAACACAAAAAGCACTGTGGATCATTTCTAATCAACTGCAATTGGCATTTGCTTTAATAAAGAAACCGGTATCTGTCACTAAAAAAGTCAGTACAAAAATTGACTAATTAATGCCTAAGAAATAATATGTGCCTTGTTTATTTTCTATTTGTGTCTACTACTTTAAAAAGTTGAGAACTTTTACTTTGGAATTTTAGAGGAAACAAAAAATAAATTATATCTACATAAAGTTAAATATTAACAGATTGCCATATGTGATGTGCATTAAGCATGAATGCTTGCAAGTGCAATTTACCTTGAATTTCAAGGTAAACATAATCAATATCTTTCGTGTATAACAATTTTATGTAAAAAGTTAGCAATTTTTTAGTTACAGTGTGCTCAATTGTATATCATGCATAAGAAAATGATGTAATGTGGTGTCAAATAAAGAGCTGCATGTGCCATGAGCGCATGATACGCTCATCACTTTTTCAACGAATAAAGTTCCATAACTCCTAAATGTCATATCAGAAATTAAAAAAATAAAAGAACATAGTTCCAATGTCCCTTGAGTTGCACATATTTGATCTATCCAAGGTACAAGTGCAATTACTAAAAAAAAAACACTTTCTTTAAAACTTTTCAGAAATATCTTGATGAAGGCTTCAGAGAAAATGCAATGAAAAAAAATTTCCATTTTAATTAATATTTCCAAGAATTGTACACATGAGAGAACTAACAATGCAATTTTCAATATAATCAATATTTCCAAGGAGCATAACTCTTTAAAAAAAAAATTTATCAGCACTGATTTTCGAATTTGTCCGAGACATTGATGATATAAACCTATAATATAAATTTCATGAAAATCTGGCAAGAATTGTATACATGAGAGTGCTAACAATGCAATTTTCCATATAAATCAATATTTCCAAGGGGCATAACTCTTTTCAAAATAATTGATCTGCACTGATTTTCGAACTCATCAAAGACATTGGTGATATAAACCTATAATATAAATTTCATAAAAATCTGGCTAGAATTGTACACATAAGAGTGCTCACAAGGCAATTTTTCATATAATTAATATTTCCAAGGGCATAACTCTTTTAAAAATAGTTCATTGGCACAGTTTTTTGAACTCGTCTGAGACATTGCTGATATAAACCTATGATATAAGATTTATAAAAATCTGACAAGAACTGTACATGAGAGAGGGCTAAAAAGACCGACCGGACAGACAGACAGACAGACGCCCGTTATTTCTATTTTTCCCCCGCAACATGTTGCGCGGGTGACAAAAATAATTGATTGGCACTGATTTTCGAACTCATCTAAGACATTGCTAATATAAACCTTTGATATGTTTCTTTAAAACCTGGCAAGAATTGCACAAATGAGAGAGTGATGATGCAATTTTCCATATAATTAATGTTTCCAAGGGGCATTACTCTTCAAAAAATAAAATGCTTTGCAGGGCGCAGCTTGATACGACCGCAGAGGTCGAACCCTGAACAGTTGGGGCAAGTATGGACACAACATTCAAGCTTGATACAGCTCTGAATTTGGATTGTGATTAAATATTTGACACAGCATAGGTTTCTGACAGAATGAATGTGGTCTAAGAACTTAAAAATTTTAAATTGGACATTCACCTATTATGGTCCAATATCCAAAATCTAAATACATGGTTAGATTCAGCATATCAAAGAACCCCAAGAATTCAATTTTTGATGAAATCAAACAAAGTTTAATTTTGGACCCTTTGGACCTCAATGTGGACAAAGTTGATAATAGGGCCCAAAAATCAAAAATCTAAATACATGGTTAGATTCAGCATATCAAAGAACCCCATATATTCAATTTTTGTTGAAATCAAACAAAGTTTAATTTTGGACCCCGATTTGGACCAACTTGAAAACTGGGCCCATAATCAAAAATCTAAATACATGTTTAGATTCAGCATATCAAAGAACCCTAAGAATTTAATTTTTGTTAAAATCAAACTAAGTTTAATTTTGGACCCTTTGGACCTTAATGTAGACCAATTTGAAAACGGAACCAAAAATTAAGAATCTAAATACACGGTTAGATTCGGCATATCAAAGAACCCCAATAATTCAATTTTTGATGAAATCAAACAAAGTTTAATTTTGGACCCTTTGGACCTCAATGTGGACCAATTTAAAAACGGTGCCCAAAATCCAAAAACTTAATACACGGTTAGAATCAGCATATTAAAGAACCCCAAGAATTCAAGAATAAAACCCCATTGAAATTGGTCAAGAAATAAGCAATTTATACGAAGTATCTTCTTTTGCACAATACTGTGCAATTGAACATTTCTTGCTATTGCGCAATACTGTACAATTGACAATTTCTTGCTATTGTGCAATATTGTGCTATTGGATATTTCTTGCTATTGCACAATACTGTGCAATTGAAGATTTCTTGCTATTGCGCAATACTGTGCAATAGAAGATTTCTTGCTATTGTGCAATACTGTGCAATTGAAAATTTCTTGCTATTGCACAATACTTATTATATAATAATTTACACATCCTGTTTGGTGTGTATTTCCTACCATATCATTATTATTTGCTTTTAAATATAAAACAGAAATAACCAACTTAAAATGGAAATTTTTAAAAGAAAAAAAAAGGAAAAAAAGAAAAAAAAGGTACCTTGTGGTACAATTTCAGAGAGATCCATACACTTGAACACAAGTTATTGTCTGGAAACAAGAAAAATGCTTATTTTTGGCCCCTTTTTGGCCCCTTATTCCTAAACGTTTTGGGCAATTACCCCCAAACTCAATTCCAGCTTTCCCTTTGTGATATGGAACCTTGTAGTACAATTTCAGAAAGATCCATACACTTACACACAAGTTATTGTCATGAAACTAGAAAAATGCTTGTTTTTTGCCCCTTTTTTGGCCCCTAATTCCTAATATTTTGAGGCAATTACCCCCAAAATCAATCCCAGCATTCCCTGTGTGATATGGAACCTTGTGGTACAATGTCAGAGAGATCCATACACTAACACACAAGTAATGTCTGGAAGTTACAAAAATGCTTATTTTTGGCCCCTAATTCCTTAACTATTGGTACCATAACCCCCAAAATCAATCCCAACCTTCCTTTTGTGGTATTGAACCTTATGGTAAAATTTCATAGAGATCCATTCACTTAAACTAAAGTTAGAGTGTGAAAACCAATGTGTCTTCGGACGACGCCGGACGACGACGACGACGCCAACGTCATACCAATATACGACCGCAAAAATTTTTTGCGGTCGTATAATAACTAATCGGCACTGATTTTCAAGCTTGTCCAAGACATTGCTGATATAAACCTATGATATAAGTTTCATAAAAATCCGCCAAGAATTGAACATGTGAGAGCGCATACAAGACCAGACAGACAGATGGACAGACATTGGTATACCATAATATTATTAATTTGTATAGTTTGACTAATTTGATTCGTTCAGGAATAGTCACATGTTAAACTATATTTTCAAAGGTCGAATTGAAAACTGCGGATAGAAAAGTAATATTGCACGGTTATTTTTAGAATATCTGAAAACCGATATACATATCTAATGAATTTCATGATATTGTTAAAGTTTTTAAAAAGTGGTTATTTATGATGTGAAAAAAATAATCTTCAAATACATAAGATGTACACAAAAAAAACCATAAAAAATTTGGATAGTGGATAGTGTCCACATGTGGACACAGCTGATGATGCCCCCGCTTGCATATCATATAGTTATAAAGGGACATAACTGAAGAACAGTAAAAGTGACGCTACCCAAATTTGAACTTGATCTAAGTTTTGTGGTAATAAGCATTGTGTGTAAGTCTTATAACATTTGGTTGAGGCTAACTTAAGTAGATTTGATTTGATTTGATTTTTGGTGTTTAACGCCACTTTTAAGCACCGCTTTTGGGCTATTTCGTGGCGGCCAGTTTTTATTGGTGGAGGAAGCCGGAGTGCCCGGGGAAAACCACCGACCTTCGATAGGAAAACTTAAGTAGAGAACAGAAACTAAAAATTCAGCAATTTTTCTATTTGTAAACACGCATAACTCTAGAACGGTTGTGTATAAGATATTATAACATTGGGTTGAGACAAACTAAAGTTAGAGAACGGAAACGAAAAATTCAGCAATTTTTATGTTTACAAAGGAACATATCTCAAGAATGGTAAAAGTGTCGCCACCAAATTTCATACTTAATCTGTATTATGTAGTAATAAGCATTGTGTATAAGTTTCATAACATTTGGTTGAGGCAAACTAAAGTTAGAAAACGGAAACAAAAAAATTGTACTTGATCTTAGTTTTGTGGTAATGAATATTGTGTATAGGTTTCATAATGATTGGTTGGGGCAAACTTAAGTTACAGAATGGAAACTAAAAATTTTGCAATCTTTCGATTTATAAAGGGGCATAACTCAATAATGGTTAAAGTGACACTACCCAAATTCAACTTGATCTGTGTTTTATCAGTGGAAGTCAAAATTAAACATTGCATTGTAAAAAGCATTGATTGTAGTTGATTCAACTATAATCATGGACAAAGGAAGATAACTCCAATTATAAAAATTACTTGATATTTAGAAGAAAATAAAATTTTTTCAATTTTTCCATTTATAAAGGGGCATAACTCTAGAACGGTTAAAGTGACGCCACCAAAATTCAAACTTGATCTGTGTTTTGTGGTAATAAGCATTGTGTATAAGTTTCAAAACATCTGGTTGAGGCAAACTTAAGTTAGAGAACGGAAACCAATTTTGGGACGTATGTACGTACAGACGGACAAGGGTGAAACTTAATGCCCCCACCGCTACGGCGGGGGCATAAAAATAATTGAAATAACAACTTATATGTCGTTATTTGCCAAGAGACAATATGATATCTTTAAAAGTCCAACAAAATTAAATGATCGAAAAAAGAGAATATAATGCACTGACGATTTTGATACCAATATGGTCAGAAATTAATAATATAACAATTGTAGCCTTAGTATGAGGTCAATCCAGGATATATCGACCTCGGACTTCGTCCTCAGTCAATATACTTCTTTCAGGTCAATATATCCTTGTATAGACCTCATACAAAGGCTATAATTGTATAATACGTCCCGTAAACGGGCGTATAAAAACAAAAGAAAACAAAATAACGGTAATTCTAAAATGACGTTCTTCAAACGCTTTCAGTACACACCCGTGGTAAAATATGAATATATTGTTTGGGCTGTTCCTATCATACTCTCACATCATATGCTTTTTTATGAATGAGCTACTCGACGTCACTGAACGATGACGTACGAATATAAGCATTTTACGGGAAAATGCATGATTGTGAAACCGAAAAATCATCACAACAAGGAAACATAAACAAACGATGATAAAATGTGTTATAAGCCATTTTTTTAACATATAAGTAAAATTATCATTTAAATTCATGCAAACCTATCTAAATACGTTATTGTAAATAGTTTAAGCATGTCATTAGTTCAGTTTGCTCCGTTCTTTTACGTCAATGTAATAGTGCGTTTATTTACGGGAACGGCAAATAATTGCCTTCACCTAGAGCGCTTCAATCCAAAAGAAATGCCGTATTTGTCCTATAAGAATAGAAATAATTCATGGGGGCTTGAATTTATACTGATTTTACCACGGGTTGGCCCTTTATGCCGATATTTTACCCCTCACGGTAAAATATTTAGCATAAAGGGCCAACCCGTGGTAAAATCAGTATAAATTCAAGCCCCCACGAATTATTTCTTAACCAGAAAATGGGCTTTCCATTAGAATATTTTTAATTTTTTTTCTTTCATTTGATTAACTGACCGACACTGATGAAGATGTTGTGCTGAAATATTTGTCACTACACTTTCATTTCATCTTGTTCCTATTTTGTTATCTTTAATCAATATAACATATATACATGATCAAGGCTACTAATAAATCCCTTATGTGATCTACCTATTGCATCTATTTAAACATGTATTCAACTGATCTGTCATATTAAAATCAAGATGCTACATTTTCACTGTTTTCAAATATTTGGCATATTCTGATATGTTTAAAGGATACTCGCTTGTTATAAAGCTAATAAACTCTGAGACACACTCCTGAACACATTCTTTGGCATCTTTGGCAATCTGAATAAAAGGAAAATGTACTTATAATAATACAATTCAGTTTGAAGAGTATATTCAATAATTGTAATGTTTATTAACTTCAAATCGAACAGTGCTATTCATTTGGGATGTATAAATATGTAGAATCTGTTTTATTTACTTTACCTTTGTCACCTTTGAAAGTTAGAATTATACCAGTTCATACGTACAGTGCTATTGTATTATATATAAAAATAAGAAGATGTGGTATGATTGCCAATGAACCAACTCTCCACAAGACACCAAATGACAAAAAAGTTAACAACTATAGGTCACCAGACAGCCTTCAACAATGAGCAAAACCCATACCGCATAGTCAGCTATAAAAGGCCCAGAAATGAATGTAAAACAATCAAAAAAGAAAAATAAAGGCCTGATTTATGTCCAAAATAATGAACAAAAAACAAATAGGATATACAGCAATAAACGAAATCCATTTAACTACAGGCTCCTGACTTAGGACAGGCACATACAGAATGTGGCAGGGTTAAACTAGTTTGAAGTTTGAGTTTAATTTACTGATAACAAAATCAATAATAATACCAATAAAAACAATATTCACAGATCTAATTCAGTGTTGAATAGGTAACCTTTTAGAATACATGTAAGTTTATTTAAAGGATCGATTAAGTCTACCTGGATCCTATCTAAATTTCCGGGCTTGGTAAACAACATCCCCGTAAAAATTAGGATGTGCTATCCTGTTTGAAATAAGTTTTCTACAGGTACAACCAAACTTCCAAACCAAGTATTTGTATCTATGGAAGAGTTTAGTAAAGGTTTTAAGTAATTTGTGGTAATGGAATCCCTGACTTAATAATTTACCAAGTAATACATTGATTACGTTCAAGAAATCCAAAACATCACAACAGACACGGGCATAGTGAATTACATATATTTGTCAAAATTCAATTATTTTGAGCATTTTTCAAAACCTAAATGCTTTAGTAGAACAATTTGGTCAGTGGCTTACAATGATTCCATACACCAAATATAGATGATCTACTGTTTATAATAACTTAGAAACAGACCTAATCATATAACATTAACCTTGATCACTGATTCATGAAATGAGGTCAAAGCCAGGTGAACCCTATCTGACAAACATGTAACCCTTGCATGCCTTGCACTGATCCCAAATACAAAATATCATAAAATGACAAGAGTTTCAATGTCCTCCTTGTAACAATATTTTATCTACCTAAGGGCAATAGCTAACAATTTTTTGTTTGTTCTTTAAATATTTTTATGAATATCTTCAAGAAATATATGCTTGAAAGCATTTGCAATGCAATTTTTAATATTATCAATATTTCCAAGGTGCATAACTTTTAAAAATAGTTGATTGGCTCTGATTTCCTATTGGCCAAGACATTACTGATATAAAACTCTGATATGAGTTTGAATAAATCTGGCAAGAATTGTACACATCAGAGTGCTTACAATGCAATTTTCCATATAATAAATATTTCCAAGGAACATAACTCTTTTAAAATAGTTGATTGTCTCTGATTTTTGAACTTGGCCATGACATTGCTGATATAAACCTCTGATAAATAAGTTTGATAAAAAATCTGACAAGAATTGTACATGTGAGAGCGCTTACAATGCAATTTTCCATACAATTAATTTTTCAATGGGGCATTATAACTCTTTTTTTTTAAATAGTTGATTGGCAATGACTTTTTAACTTGTTCAAGACATTGCTGATATAAACCTCTTATATAAGTGTGATAAAAATGTGAGTTACAAGACTGGACGGAAAGACGCCCAGTATTTCTATGTCCACTGCAACACGTCTTCCAAAGTTTTAAATATCATTTGACCAGAGAACACAGTTTTTTCGTAGTGCATTAATTTTAGACAATAAATGCAAAGCACCTGCGCTTTCTCAAAAAATTTGTTCAGTGTGGTGGACAAATTATATCAAAATTATAATAAACTGCTTCGCTGAGCGCAGCTGGATACGCCCGCAGAGGTCTAACCCTGAACAGTTGGGGCAAAAATGGACACAATATTCAAGCTTGATACAGGTCTGAATTTGGATTGTAATTAAATATTTGACATACATCTATTATAGGTTTCTGAATAAATGTAGTCAAAGAACTTGAAGTTGGTTATATGAATTGAATTTATATTCAATTAAAGATTTCTTGCTGTTGTGCAATACACTGTGCTGTTGCGCAATACTTAGTAAATCTGTTGTCAGACTATAAACAAATAAAATTTATAAAATTCTAAAGGGAGCTTACATCAATAGATATAAACAGTTTACCAAAGTTTCATATGAATTGCTGAAAGCATTTTTGAGTTTTTGTCTGAAAACTGGAAAATCCCCCCTTTTTTAATGAATAAACCCCATAATTCAGAAATGTAAAATCTAAAATTTATAAAATTCTAAAAGGAACTTACATCAATAGATATCAACAATTCATCAAAGTTTCATGAGAACTGCTGAAAGCATTTTTGAGTTATTGTCCGAAAACTGGAAAATCCCCCATTTTTTTATGAATAAAACCCCGTAACTCGGAAACGTAAAATCTAAAATTTATAAAAATCCAAAGGGAGCTCATGTCAATAGATATAAACAATTAACCAAAATTTCTTGCAAGTTGGTGAAAGCATTCTTGAGTAATAGTCCAAAAACTGGAAAATCCCCCTTTTTTTAATGAATAAAACCCCATAACTCGGAAACGTAAAATCTAAAATTTATAAAAAACTAAAGGGAGCTCACGTCAATAAATATAAACAATTCACCAAAGTTTTAAGCAAATTGGTTAAAGCGTTTTTGAGTAAATGTCCGACATGTTGACGACGGACAGACAGACAGACGGACGTACAACGGTATACCATAATACGTCCCGTAAACGGGCGTATAAAAACAGACCATCAGCTTTAACTCAAAATATAGGCAATTCTACGTTAAGGGGGGCCTGAATTCAGTTTGACATCTTCAGACATGCTAAATTTTTATCTTTTTCAACTGGATCAAATCACTTATATATACTTTATTTTAAAATTCATGACCCAAATTAATTTACAGTGTAATTTTATCCCCTACTTGCTATTCATGAGGAAATAAATCATTTAAAAGGTGTATGAAAAAAATTTGCAAGTAATACACTATCCCAACTTGGGACTGGAAACAAGCCATCATACATATGCAAGTTTACAGGGCAGAGGAACTGACGAAAAGATGTCACCATTATCATGATTATCCCCTACCTGACATGAATATATGAAAATGTAATATTTTCCACCAATTTAAAATTTGAGAGGTTTTTTGTTATAAATGATTCTTCCATATGTCATGTATGTATTTTAATGTTCTTTAAATGGAAAGAAAAAAATACAAATAGCATATCACATGAGTATAAAAGAGAGGCGAAAGATACCAAAAGGGACATTCAAATTCATAAATCGAAAATAAACTGACAACGCAATGGCTTATAAAATGGTCTTAGGCGATGAAAAACTGAAAATAATTTAAAGTCAATTTAGGCAGTAGCACATATATACAAAAAGTATGCAGGCATTCAACTTTTTTTTGCAGACAGCTGTATGGTCTGATTCAAAGTTTTTTTTCACTTTTCAATGGAAAACTTGTATGTACATGTAGTTTTAGTCTTAATAGGCATAAATTTAAACCCCTTACTATCCTGAAGAAGAAAATAAAGGTACAATGTAGTATATGAAATGAAACGGGTAATCAAATAATTGTAAAGTGCTTTGATGGACTTCTATGCACATAGCTCCTCACATTTCAATTGCTTCAAACAGGCAGTTAAACCAGGACCATAAAAACAACAAATTTTGCACATTTTTTCTGTGATAATTTACTTTTCTCTAGATTCAGAGTTCACAAATGAGTAATAAAACTTGACAAAATCCTAAAAACAAAAATATTAAAACATGAATACCTGCCAGTGAGAAATTCATGCCACCGAAAAATCTCTATTCTGTTGATCTTGTATAGCTGATAATTTTTCTGTTTACAGTTTCTCTCTATCTTCTTTATTTTTGGCCAAAACACAAAAAAGGGTAAACAAATCATTGTTTAAGGGCAATTACTTCTACAGTCTACCAACTGTTTTTACAAAATTTTACTTAATTGTAGATCTTGTCTTGCTGATCACTTATGCTATGTCAAATGTCTATCTATTATAAATTTCAAGATAATAGGCAATAAAATGTGGCACAGCTTGATGTGATCGCAGAGGTCGATCCCTGAACAGTTGGGGCAATTATGGACACTACATTCAAGCTTGATACAGCTTTAAATTTGGATTGTGATTAAATATTTGACACAGCATAGGTTTCAGACACGTATTGAATGTGGTCTAAGAACAGAAAAATTTGAAATTGGACTTTTACCTACATGTATACACCTTATCCCTATTTGGTCCAATCCGAAAAAAAAACAGTCACTTAGACAATTTCTTGTTTAGGTCAAGTGTCTCAAAAACAAAGGTCATCAGTAATGAGCTGAGGGAGGAAAAAGTTTAGAAAGTGAACAGTTTCAAATTTTGAGACATCATGATCAAAATTTTTAAAACACAAATTAAAATCATAAAAATGCTTTGTTTGAACAGGGCCCGAGATTGCTCCAACTGGGTGAAAAAGTTGTATAATTTCGGAACTTATCTGGTTTGGAATAAATAGCAATAAGGTGTATTATGGTCCAATATCCAAAATCTTAATACATTGTACATGGTTAGATTCAGCATATCCAAGTACACCAGGAATTTAATTTATTTATTTATTAAGGGACAATATTAGCTAAATTTTTAAAGGGTTTCACTTCATAAAAACTAGAGGCTCTAAAGAGCCTGTGTCGCTCACCTTGGTCTATGTGCATATTAAACAAAGGACACAGATGGATTCATGACAAAATTGTGTTTTGGTGATGGTGATGTGTTTGTAGATCTTATTTTACTGAACATTCTTGCTGCTTACAATTATCTCTATCTATAATGAACTTG